CAGCCAATAAAATTTAATTTTGACTGTGTAACAAGGAACAGGAAACAGGAACGGAACAACTTTGAACACCCCTATTGAGTCATAGGAAAAACATATAAGAGACAAATTAAAAATTGAGATTTTGGGAATCAAGTCAAAGCCAAATTTGTAAAATTTTCTAGGTTACACGATTAACAATGCATAAAATCACGTGAAAGTCACGGGTGTGCATTTAGGGAGGGTGGTTTTATATAGTTGGGAATGAAAAAAGACAGGTATGGAGGGTGCACTTATCTCTTAAGTCCTGAGCTTGGGAATGAGTGAAAGCATGCATTTAGAGAGTGTGTGCATTTATAGGGAGTGCATTTAAGGGGGTTGACTGTATATATTATCTTCAATAATATAATTTTTATTTTTCTAACATTTTGGTCTTTTGTCATACAAATAGGTATGTTTTGATTGCTACATTTTGCATTTTAGTATTATCTATTTAGCTCACAAGATTATCACTTCCATTTTTACTTAAATTTTCATGAAACAGAGGATGAAGGTAACTTACTAGATTCATTTGATTTTATATCTATATATTTACAATAATTCAAATTATATGTTATTACTGGCAGTTCAAATAGTTAAATGTAGGAAATGGTACTATTACTCCAGATCAATACAATAAATACTTTGTTGTAGAACCAAAATTAGATGAATTTATTGATAGGATTAAAGATGGTGAATATTTACTACTATATGGGCCATGTGCATCAGGGAAGTCAACATGTATCATGTATGCAATGCAAAAATTGCAAGAAGAGGGATATCATTGTATCTACAGTTTACTCTTCCTATAACAAACCCTCTGCCCCTATATGTAATTTCTCGGCTTTTGGTTGTTATAGAGAGAGCTTATTAAGATGGTTGTTATAGAGAGAGAAATTAATTATAAAAAATTGAAATGGGGATGAAAGGGAAGTTCATTATAGAGAAATTTTACTTAGTGGTCATTACAGAGAGGGTCATTATAGAGAGAGTAGACTGTAGTAAGTTTTACTTTGCATATTAATATATATATATATGATTCTCTTACAACATTTATTCTTATTGTTGTTTTGTTTTTCTTTTGTTATGCAATGATCATTCCTTATGGTATAGCTTGGATTTTACAAAAACAAATCTTAATAATGATCTAAAAGCAATGTGGATATCACTTTATTGGTTACTGAAACCTCAATGCCATGCATATACATGCAGTCCAAAGTATTTTGACACTGTCATAAAGGGGTGTTACTAGGGATGGGCAAAATGCGAAATCCTTAGTTTATTGTGCACATAATGCACATTATGTGCATTATGTGCATAGTAAATTATTAGTGATTTTTTAAAAAAACATTCACCATAAAATTATCTTCATGGTTTTAGCTTAGATGTAATAAAACATATGTTTATTGTGTTTATTGTTGTGATTAGA